CAGAAAAACGGTTTATTTGGCGTTTTCTTTTGAAGATCTCACATACAAGCCTTACTTTAAAGATGGTTTTGTCCATCGTATATATTCGCCTACATTTCAAATCAGATTTTTCTATGAATTTATGGGTGTTTTAATTTATTGTGTGACCATGCCTACCATGGACATGATTCTTTGTGGATTTATGAAACATATTAATGTACAACTTATAATTGTTAAATTGTCAGTTGCAAATTTAATTGACAAGGCAAAATGTAAATTTAATAATAATAATAATGAAATTATCTTGAATGCAACTTCAAATTTAAGTGAAGAAATGAATGAAGAAGTTGAAGTTTTGACGAAAAAAATCTTACACCATCATCAAGAAATTGCAAAGTTATGTCAATTTATTGAAGATTTAATTCACCCCTTCATGTTCGTTCTAAGTTTTTTTAGTCTTTTTATTATATGCTTGGGATTCTACCAATTAAGCGTTGTAAGTAAAATTATAACATAATTATATTAATTATTAGGGTGTTCCAAAAAAAGTCGATAATTTTTTTTTTCGATTGCACGTGAAATTCTTGTTATATATGCTATAAAAAAAATTCTGTAAAAATTTGAGCCCTTAATATCAACTTGAAGAACTGCATCATCGAATTTTAAGATTTTCCATTGATTTAACATGGAAAAATGATTTTTTAACCTTCATTTCTCCTGCAAACTATGTAGAACATTATTTTTCGGAAAAACCATCACTGATCCTTCTTCAGCATTAAATTCTGTAAAAAAAAGTTCTTAGGGTCCAGTCTCTAACGTCAACCCTCTCGTTTTTATTTGCGTTGAAAAATATAGATTTTTTGAAATTTCGATTTTTTCCATTTAATGTGTAAAATTTTGATCTCAGACCATAAAGTTTGAGAAAATTTTAGTAGATCGTTCAATGTTTCACAAATCTGTGCCAAGAAAATGTATCACTTTTGGCTCCAAAATTGTGAGTCTTGTATTATCTTTTGAAATGATTATTCGCTATCATAATAAATTTTACAAAAAATTTGAAAATCTATCAACAAAATATCAAAATTTCTTTATAACAGTCAACAAAACGCTGAATATGCGCTTCAATTCGTTCAATTTTATTATTTTTTCCATTTAATATAACAGTTTTTGGCTGTAACATATAATTTACACACAATTTTTAAATGTTTTAAGAACTTAAAATTTTTATGGTTTCTCTTCGTTATTCATTTGAAAATTTTAGATGAAATAAGCGTTTTGTTGACTGTTATAAAGAAGTTTTGATATTTTGTTGATAGATTTTCAAATTTTTAAGATTTATTTAAAAAGATAATACAAGACTCACAATTTTGGAGCCAAAAGTGATACAAAAAATTTTCTTGGCACAGATTTGTGAAACATTGAACGATCTACTTAAATTTTCTCAAACTTTATGGTCTGAGATCAAAATTTTACACATTAAATGGAAAAATCGAAATTTCAAAAAATCTATATTTTTCAACGCAAATAAAAACGAGAGGGTTGACGTTAGAGACTGGACCCTAAGAACTTTTTTTTACATAATTTAATGCTGAAGAAGGATCTGTGATGGTTTTTCTGAAAAATAATGTTCTACATAGTTTGCAGGAGAAATGAAGGTTAAAAAATCATTTTTCCATGTTAAATCAATAGAAAATCTTAAAATTCGATGATGGAGTTCTTCAAGTTGATATTAAGGGCTCAATTTTTTACAGAATTTTGTTATAGCATATATAACAAGAATTTCACGTGCAATCAAAAAAAAATTATCGACTTTTTTGGAACACCCTATTAATTATATTATAATTAAACATACGGAAATGATTGCACCTATAATAGGTAATAATTGTTCTGTGGAGAATGCCGTGCTCTGTCAGTGCAGTGCTCCCAGGGCTAAATTACAATTTACAATTATTTATTTAGGAATTTAGGAGGTTTTTTAGAGAAATTTAGGAGAAATAAAGTATGCAAATAAATTTCTGTAATGAAATACAAACAACTCTACACTGTACTTAAACAATAGGAAAAAAAATAATTAATTTTAACAAAAATATAAATAAATATCACTTTTGTGCAAATATCTGGAGTATACAGGGTGCCACCAAATAATTTGTCATCCCTTAAGGGAATGATAGTACAGGCCAACATAAGAAAGTTTTTCCTTTATAATTTTTGCATTAGTGCCATTATTTTATAAAAAAAATAATTTAAATTTTGGGCCTGACCTATGACAACTGACGCAAAATATGCTTGCCTATTTACCTACTAATATATCAGGCGAGTTTGCGTCTTTTTGTTGCTGCTTGAGGCGAGAGAATTGGAGCTTGGGCTTGCTCTAATTGGTGGTTTGATATCACATGACTGAAGATGTGGTGGGTGGCAGTTTGTGTGCAGTGTGTAGTACGGGTGTTTTTGTTTTGATTTAGATTAAATTATTTGAAACTGTTGTCTGATCTTTTATAGTTTGTCTTTATTAGTAAAATTTATTGTTTTATTATTGTGGTGCACGGGGGTAGGTACATACACGCTACACAGGTAAAATTAGCAAGTCGTATTGAGTTTCAATTAAGGTTAGGTTTTCAAAATACTGGGAAGTTTTCTTTAGATAATTTTTATTTTTTTTTAATGAATCCTGTTCATGACATTGTTCTCTCAATATTTGAAACACAAGACAGATATTTAGCCGTCGTCCAACGCCAAAAATGTTATCAATATTTAACGATAAGAGGCAGGGTAAGCAATATTCACGAACTTTTTAAATATCTTGGTCCGAAACCTATAATATATAGCCTAGAGTTTCCGTTATTTACCAACTTGGTTTTTTGTTTGCAGTGCCCCCTAAATTTTTAGTTTAAGACCTAAAAAGAATTATAAAAAAAATTATAAAAAAAATATTCATTTTAAACCGTGCCACAAAGACGATACATTTTCCGTTTAAATAACATGGGGTTTCGGCAAGTTTTACATATATATTTTTTTCTCTGCAAGCAAGCAAGTTAAAATACAGCAAAAAGTGATACATATTTTTATAGGAAATTGAAAATTTCAAATTTCAAGACATCTTTGCTGTTTTCAGGAAATTGAGCCTAATAAAAACATTTTTAGAGCAATGCTTACAATGCAGAAATGTACAGCACGACCAGCTTCCTGTTAGTCACACTTTTTCAGTTAATGATTTTTTGTGCTAACGGAGATGACGTCATAACAACGAGCCTTAACTTGTCCGATGCAATATTCGCAATGGACTGGTTTATTTTCAGCACCAAAGTTAAAAACTACTGGGTGTTTATGATGATGAGAGCGCAAAAACCGTTGATGTTTACCACTGGGAAATTCGCCCCACTTTCCATGCAAACTTACATGGCGGTAATTGAGTCTTATTTTTTATATTTTTTAAATTATAGACACACTTTAGTGTGTCCCAAAACGCGCGCCACAGAGAAAAAGGGGATAGCAATGGAGATGTCAAATTTAAAAATAAAAAATGTCTAAAGTTCATTTTTTTTATCTGGACTGCGGCAACGTTGCAAATTTAGGGTTTTGGTTGGTAAATACAGTTGTCAAGTTGGTCGCATTGATTAAAACAAACTAAGCTAGTTATAAATCTAATTGTGGTTATGTATAAATTATTGTAGGTTACATTGTGCAGTTGTCAAGTTGAGTTGTCGAAATTCGTAGTTAAAAATGCAATTAATTTGGCTTTGGTGGTGCTTGGATGTGTAAAATCATATAAAAAAGTAGTTAAATATAGGTTGCTTTACGGCCCAGAAGAGAAAGTATTCCTAGCGGATAATAATATTCGCTTTTAAAAGAATTTATATAAAAGAAATTAAAATTTTTTGTGAACGTAAATGTTGTCCAATGGTGAATAATGTGTGATGTAATATTTATAAAACCAAATTCGTTACTTTTTTACTTCAAAAATGTCCATAAGGCGATGTACTTTTTCTTCCATTGTAGCATTTGGCATAATTTCACCAAAATGAAGTTTTGCCCTCAAAAGGGCTTTTACATTCGAATTTATTGCTATTATTTTTGGCATAATTATCTTTTTATTTATAATTGACAAGTAAATTATCAATAATAAATATTATTGTCAATTTGACAGTGTCAAAGTATTTAATTTATTTAATTAAATTCTTTAGCAGAAGTACCATTTTTAAATACTAAAAATACCAACCTATCCAGATAAAAAAAATAAACTGTAGGTACTTGTCTTTTTTATTTTATATAGGTTATATTTCTTTAAAGAAAGAAAAATTAGGCTGCAAAGTTGAAAGTAACCTATGGCAGGTTTTTTACATAAAAATGAAACCTTCACGACTACGTCCATGGATTTCGTAGGCCAATATTTTAGGCATAATTATAGAGGCATGATTTAATAGATAATTAAGTAACCTATATTTCCTTATTCAAACATTTAGGTAAAAGTGTAATCGAATGAGAGCAAAAAAGCGGCAGCCAATACCGAGAGCTCTCGCCTAGGTTAAACGTATAGGAAATTTAAAAGGAAACGACGTACACGTCATCGATGACGTTTAATGCATTTTAAACAACTTTAGTTGGCAGCAATTGCAATGTTGTCATGTTTAGATTAAAATTTTGCATAATAAAATGACGCAAAGAAAAAGGATTTCACGTTTTAGAATTTCGAAGCTGTCAGTTGTGTTTTTCGTGTTTCTTTTAATTCGTGTATAATTTATCTCTGTGGCGCGAGTTCTGGGACACCCTGTATGGGCTATTTTTGAATTTTGTTTTTGATTGAACACCCTATTAATATATGCATTTTTAGATACTTAAAAACTCCTTTTCATACTTTATGGTTTTAAATAAAATAAAAAATTAGGTTGAATCAGCATCCTCACCAATATTAGAATTAAATGATTGTTAAAAGTGCACACATATTATAAAAATATAGCAAGTGAGTTTATTGAAGCTTTTCATTTTAAAACCACCTTAAATAAAATAATTAAAACATCATAAAATATTTTTAAACAAAATATAATAATCGAAAAGCAAAACTAACATCTTTCAAATACCTTATACAGATTGGGTAAATTAGCTATTTCTAATACAGCTGCATTTTCCGTAAAGGATTTTGGCGGTATAAAATAATCCTTAACAGCGGGGTAAACGATATATTCCACGACCCATTTCCAGTCCTTACCATTCGGATTATCCGATTCAGAAATTTCTGAATAATATAAAGCAGTTTCCCTTGCAAACGATTTAAAGCAGTTTTTTTCGTTTTCCCAGTCCACTTCGGTGGCCAAACGCATTATGTAAGTTGGTAGACCGGCCTCATCCGGAATGTAGTCGTCTAAAAAAAATTTGGCTTTAATGCTGCCTGTGAAAAAAATTATTCAACAAAATTTTATGATTTAAAATATTTAAAAATAACTGACGAATATATCTTGTACAAAAATTATAATACCATAGGTATTGAAAATTTGGTCCGTTTCTGTTGGAAATAAAGGCGCATTCATGTTCACTTAAAATAAGAAATAAGATAAAAAGTTAAAACTGTGTAAAGTAATGGTTGCGTTCATGTTCATGAAAATAAGAATACTAAAGATAAATAACTTTAAACTTTGGTTCTTATTTTTGCGTATAAAACTGCGCAAAGGACAAAATAGGTCTGTGAATTGGTTTTATGGGTTTTATGTGCTAGCCATGGAGCCATGGTCTTGGAGATCGCGTTGAGTGTCGCTGTCGATTGTTTACGTTTATAGCCAATATATGAGGCCTGTCAGAGCAAAGTCAACAATCTCCCGTCAGACTAAAACTGAGTAAATTGAGATAATCGATTTTGGTAGTTAAAATTTTAGATTTGAAATTTTTTTTATATATTATATTGAAATATTGTTGTTGTTAGTCTAGTAGCCAACTACAAGGTCTCCAGGATGCATAGTATAGGTGAAATCTGTAATTATAAATTGGAGATTGCTGACTTCGATATGAATTGCTGGAGATTGCTCATTTTGTTGTAAACGTTTAAGGAGATTTAGAAAAATAAACAAAAAAATAATTGTAGTTTTATTCCATTAATAGTTATAAAATTTAACTATACAATCAATGTGGGAAAATTCTGAACTGGACCACATAAATCTGGAGTTTCTTGTAAATCTGGTAAAGTTTTTATAGTACAACAACTCATCATCTTCTTCCCACTTTGCTGCGTAATGTTTTACTTGCAATGTTTTGACATTATCAGCCTTTTCTTGTTTTACCTTTACGTTTTATTATGGTATAATAGCACAAAATAAACAAGATAACTTTTTTTTATAATTCATAAAACAATAAAACGTATATATACCTATTTTAAATATATTTTTAGTGCAATTTACTGCAATAGAACTTAACAGTATGTTCCAGTAAAAAAGCACAAAATTAAATCTCTAAAATACGTTATAACATCAAATGTTAGGATGTAAGGTGACACAAATTACTAATTTCTAATGGTGGAATTGGAGATTGTATTTTTTGCTGCAAATCTATCAGTGGAAATTCGGCCATTTCAAGCGCGCGAAACGCACGAATTACAAAACTGTTTTAATAGAAAAAATTGTAGATTATTTATTATATAATATTTTGGCATCAAAATTGGCAAAAATATTCTTTTATTATTAGGTTATACATTAAATAAAAAAAAACTCAAGAAATATTTTATGAAAGTAGATATAATTTTAATAATTGAAAGGTGTGGACGGGACAAAAAAAAGATTTATCTTGTCCCGTCCATCCCTGTCAATTATTGAAATTATCTCTACTTTTATAAAATATTTCTTGCGATTTTTTTTATTTAATGTATACCCTTATAATAGAAGAATTTTTTTGACAATTTTGATGCAAAAATAATATATAATAAATTAGCTACAATTTTTTTTATAAAAACAGTTTTGTGATTTGTCCCGTCCATCCGCTTGAAATGGCCGAATTGTCGACTTTGCACTAAATGTCATTTTTAAAATAGGATTTTAGGCAGGATTTAGCTTCTTTTGCAGCACATAAACTTTATCATCTTATAGATAATTAGTACAGTCTCCGCCAAAAATCTAATTTTTGACCAAAAGTGGAGATTGTCGGTTTTGCTATGACAAGCCTCATATAATCCACTATAATAAAATATAATTGTGTGACAACATATTGTATTTCTTATGTTATCAGCATGAACGATCAATCGCGATCTTATTTCTTATTGAGCATGGATACGCCTTAAGAATTCAGCTAAAATTTAAAAATTAAAAATTAGGTCCATTTCTCTTAAAAATAAAAATATAGGTAAAATAAAATCACTCAAAACGAATTTAATTTCAGTCCGCCTAAAGTAATGATTAGCGAAGACAAACAGGTAATACCACTAAAATCCCATCCCCAATTATCGTATTATAAGCTGTAAAAGCTAAAGTTGCAAAAGAAGAATAAAATGTGTTTCAACTTTAAATGCTATTTATCGTATCGTATCGTAGTAATATCATAAGGGCATCTAATTTTTCCGAAAAAAATCGAAAACACACGTTGCTAAGTAATATTTTAACAAGAAGCACACGTGCACAAAAATCCGAGTCGAAAACGAGGATTTTTGCACCTGCACAAATGCATTTTGTTAAAAAATATTATTTAACATTGTTTTTTCGATTTTTTTCCCAGGAAAAATTAGATGCCCGAATGGAATTTGACAAGACTATTTCATGAGTAACAGTTATTCTGTATACACTTAGCTTACAAAACATACTACCTATTATACATGCATACTAAAAACTTAATTATTTATGGTACAATTAAAATACAGGGCTCCCATGGCTAAATTACAAATTTTATTTAGGAATTTAGGAGGTTTTTTGGAGAATTTTAAGAGAAATAAAGTATTCAAATGAATTTATGTAATTAAATAAAAACAACTCTAAACTATACTTAAAAAATAAATAATTATTTAAAAAAAGTATAAATAAATATCACTTCTTTTATACAAATAGGTTACATTGAATAGTTTTTTTAGCCAAATCGCTCGACGAGTTTTTTTTTAATAAAATTAAAAGTGGGGTAAAATTAGTAATTTTGTATATTCGAGTATCTGAGGTATATACACAAGTAGAATTTCTGATGTGACAAAAACTAGGCCAAAGTCAAATGATGTTATATTTATATTTTGAGAAAAAAAAAGTTAACCGTTTAGTTAATAACTAACAATAATTGTAATTTGGATCCTGTTACTCAAAAATCTCATAATAGGAAATATATAAAGTTTGCTTAATACAAGAAAACATTCTTTAGATTGTTTACTATTTAAAAGAAAATTAAAAATCCTTTTGTTTGATATATAACACGGTATATTTTTGTCGAAAACAAACAGAAATATGGTTATAAGTTATAAACATGACAATTTTGTAGAAGTCTGAAGCTACTACATGGATTTTGTTTTTTAGGTATATTTTTTGTTTTTTAAGTTTAGCCGCGGGCACGGTCTTATATACAGGTCTTGCAACTTCGCCCAATTTCAATAGGAAAAGTGACCTCTCTAATGAGACACCCACCAGATGGCGCATCGAGTTGTGGGTGAACCATAGATGTTTAAAGGTCGTTTTTACCTTCTTTATCTTTGGGTTTTACAATCGTTAGATAAGCTCTCTGGTGGATAATTTTCTTAGATAGAAGGTTTCTATGAAAGTTATCCGCCAAATAAGCTAACTTAATCTAACGATTGTAAAACCGGCTCTAAGTCCTTAAAGTCTATGGGATAAAAGGTCAAATGAACTACCTACTTATGTTCTGTGTTAAGAAACATAACCTACATTTTTATAAACAAGCTTGTGTATTTTGTTACAGGGAGTTTTTACTTATTAATTAGATTAAAATAGATTACTTTATAAACTATCCATGTTTACACATTAGCCGTAACATATATACGATATACTTACATGTTTGGTCTGGGCATGTGACGGCCGAGGACTTTGTGCATAGAGTATAGACTTTGTTGTCCTATTTTGTTAACGTAAATTATCCGAAACAAACTCACAAATATTAAATTTTTGAAAATGTAAACAAAACATAGAAAAAGAATTTAAAAAGTTAGGTTATGGTTATGCAGTAGTTCCACATTTAACTAAGTAGTTCATTTAATTGACTTCACCCTTCGATCTTAGCGCCACCTAGCGGCTTGGCACGTTAAGGAAGCCACCTCGAAGCTTAAAGTTGCAAGACCTGTATATAAGACCGTGGCCGCGGGAAAACTCGAAAAAACTGCTAACAGGTGCTGTCATACAGTTTTTCCACCTAGAAACCATTTGTAATTCAAAATTGCGCGATTGTGATTGGTGGAAATTAAGACGAGGGAAATAGTCTTAGAAGCACCCCTATAAACTTACCCAAAAGTATGGGCAGACTTTTGAGGTGGCCTTGCTCGCTAATCCCCAAGGAAAAATAATCGTCCAGCATGTCCGCCTTCTCCACCAAAACGTCCCTGACCTTGTCGGCCAGCTCCTCCTTACTTCCGTCTTCCGGCGTCCATCCGGTCTCCGGCAGATCCAGGCAGAGCATCGCGAGGTCGGCTATCGCGATCGGCGATTGAAACGCGAAGCGGCCGAAGTTTTGAAAGTGGTACAAGATGTACTGATAGAACAACTCCTCGAGGATCGTTCGAGTGTTGCAAAGGAGCAATTTCGTGTTGAACTGTATGAGGGCCAACTTGGTGTCGACTGCGCCAACGTAAACCAGCTGCGCGAAGGTTTCGCGCAGCATTTTGTGACAGTCGTCTTCTATCTCTTGCCGTAACTCTAAAATACTGGTCAGCTTCGTCTCCACTCTAAAAAATGCGACGTCCATGTATACTTTTGTTATTCACAGAGTTAAGAATATTAGACCAGGGTCGATAATTATAATTAATAATAATAATAATAATTTATTTGTTGTAAAGAAACATAATACATTTCATTTTAAAAGTATAAAGAGAAATATACAAAACTAATCTGATACAACAAAATGGACTGGAAGGCAGACTAATCTGATTGTAATTTCAGCCCAAAACAAATTTAAAAACAAAAAGAAACAAAATTAATATAGGTCCATGACTATTTTAAAATAAAAATTAATGTAGAAAGAGGTTTTAACGACAAAGTGGTTTTTCAGGAAATAGTGGTTTTTACAAAAGCTTGTTAAGTATCAACCTTTTTAAAGCAGATTTAAAAGGTTTTAATTTCCGAGTCTTAAGATGTGCGGGTAGGTCATTGTATATGGCATAAACGTTATATGAAAAGGATCGTCTAAATATTGCAGTTGTATGGGCAGGTGGGGATATTAGGCCTTTGAATCTTAAATTTAAGCTGTGAACATCGGTACGGTATTGAATTTTCCTATGTAAGTATGGTGGTGTTTTACTTGTTATTATGGAGTGAAACAGTGTTGCCGAATGAAGTGTTCGTCTTTCTTCCATATTTAGCCATTTTGCGGCTAACAATTTGTAAGATACTGCATTAAATTTCCTTATACCATAAATATATCTTAAACATGATTTCTGAATGTACTGTATACGATTTACATTTCTTTTATCTATACAGGGACCATACAGTACATCACCATAATTGAAGTAGCTAAGAACCAAAGTGTCAGTTAATCTAATTTTAAGCTCTTGTGATAATATTTGGCGGTGAGGATAAAGAATTTTTAATGCACTGTAAGCCTTTTTTAGACAATTAGTAACATAATTGTCAAATCGTAAATTACAGTCAATTTCGATACCCAGGTTCTTAGCCACCTTACTGGTTGTCAGATCATTTTCATTGATTTGTATTTTAATTGAGTTTGAGATTAAGTGTTTTTGCCTACCAAATATAAGAACTGAGGATTTTAGTGAATTTATACATAACTGTTGATTGTTGGATAGTTTGACTAATGCGTTTAGGTCGTCATTTATGCGAGAGTTAGCCAACAATAAGTTGTCTGGTTCGAAAGAATACATTAACTGTGTATCATCTGCGTATAAAAATGCTTTGCAGAATTTTAAACATTTAGTTAATTCGCATGTATATATACTAAAAAGTAATGGACCCAGAATAGACCCTTGCGGCACACCACATTTTATTTGAGTTTTTCTGGATTGACCCTTGTCAGTTTGCACATATTGGACTCTGTCTCTAATATATATATATATATATTAGGGTGTCCCTTATTTTTATTTTTTTACGCATACCCTCTAATTATATTTATTACGTGTTTATATACTCCCAGTAAAAAATTCAGCTCATTCTATAAACGGGAACCCGTGCCGACTTGCATCTGAACCCTCCGTTAGCCAACGTTAGGCGCGCGGTATTTTGTAACACGGTTGGTCGCGAGGTCTTCGATCGTAAGTCATTTTGTGTTTGTTATTATGTGACCCTTATATTATAAATTATTGACAAATGTTAAAATATAATTTTATTTATGTATATACTTTGATAAAAATGTATATTTTCACAGGAAGTGGCTAGTTACCCGGAAGGGTCTGGTGAATAGGCCGTAAACTCTGAAATTGATAAACTTAATGGGTTTTACTCTAAATAACTAAAAGAGTCTATTGTGAGAGATGACTACCGAAAACTTATTGAACTGTCTGAAATATTTTTGGGAGGACATCAAGAAAAGAAATGCTTACAAAAAGCTGAAATTTCATATAACAGTATATTTTAGCAATACTAATTAGTATATTAATATATTTAAGGTATAAAATCAAGTAAATTAGTGAAACAAATGATATAAACAAAAGCAATAATATTAATTAGTAATCATATTTAATAAAATCATTAGAAAAATACAGTCATGAAGTATATCTTCTTTTTAAAGTGTTTCGTGTTAACGGAGGGTTTAGATGCAAGTCGGCACGGGTTCCCGTTTATAGAATGAGCTGAAATTTTTACTGGGAGTATATAAACAAGTAATAAATATAATTAGAGGGTATGCGTAAACAAAATAAAAATAAGGGACACCCTAATACACATGCTTCATCACAGTGATATTATGTAGAACTCTCGGTATGATATTTGCGAATATTTTCTTGGATTTAAATTAACTATATATAGTTAAAAAACTGTTGATTCAATTGTTAATATACTATTTCTTTCAATGTACAAATGTTTCGCAAAAATGAATATCCAAACACCGATGGCATAAAAAATCATATCGTGATTTTTTATGCCATCGGTGTTTGGATATTTATTTTTGCGCCACATTCTCAGAGAAAAAGTATACCCACATATATATTGAATCAACAGTTTTTGTGGTTAAATACATTCAATATTTTCTTGGATTTAAATTAATAGTTAATTTAAATCCAAGAAAATATTAAATGCATTTAACCGCAAAAACTGTTGATTCAACATAATTTTTCTCTTAGCAAAAATGATTATCCAAACACGGTTGGCATAAAAAATCACGACATGATTTTTTAGGCCATCGGTCAATCGCAAACAGCGATGGCATAAAAAATCACGACATGATTTTCATTTCTCACGCAGTGACATCCGGATGATGTCCGTATGAATAAAATTTGTGAAAATCACGACGTGACGTTCGTATGATTTTCATTTATCACGCGGTGACTTCCGTATGATATCAGTATGAATAAAATTTGTGAAAATCACGACATGATGTTCGTATGAATATCACGAATGTTGTCCGGGTACTTTGCCACTGTAACACCCGAAACGAAAAATCATTTAATTGTTTTATTATTATACCTTACAGACTGATTATTGTAATAGTATTTAGTAAAAGTTACGTTATGGTGGTAATGATTTAAAATACTAACAAATATCTGAGCATGATACTAATTTTATGTGTTTTTCTTGATTAAAAACTGGAACCCCCGATACGTTTCGGGTTTTACAACTTTTTTCATATGTCGATATATGTATGTGTATTGCGTGAAGAATGCAATAAGTATTAGCACAACTTAAAATACTCCGGCATTAAAGGAAGATAATATATGGCGGAACAGACTCAAAAGAAACTACCAATAATATTCATGAAAACCTAAAAACCTATTGGAACTGGTTAAATCCTTGTGAAAATTTTTCTCTGAGAAAGTTTTAATAAGTCTTACTTTCTCTTAAAAAGTCTGATTAAGATTTATTAAGTCGGAAAAAGTCAGAATAAGACTTATTAAGTCGGAAAAAGTTTGAAGTAAGTCAGACTAATAGCAAGATTTGGGAGTATTCTGGAATAGTTAATAAGCCTTTTTAAACTTAATAAGACTTTGATCAGAGAAATGGTAGGTAGGTACCTATAGCGATTAAAATAAATATCCGGAATTATTCAGAGATGTTGTATTTGGATATTGCAAAAGAAAGCACAATGAAAAGTATTTATAAACACTGTTTTTGTGTTGTTATAAGGCTTATAAAAACACGGAAGCAATTTTTACAATATAGGTAAACAAACTTTATTTAAATTGGACAGAATAAAACAGTTGGGAGATACGTTTGGTTTGTACATACAGATCCCTTGTTGATTAAGTACATAAGGTATAATAACTATAACAATTATTCGCAACGCATAGGCGTGATATGGTCGACAGTCGAACTCATACACAGATTATAAAACAAATATGGTTGATCTTTCATTGCTTCATGTATTTTATACAGTGTTGCCGGATGAATGTCATAAAAGTTCCCGACCAAAAATTACAAAATATAAAAACAAATAGTTATATTGTAAATTTACTAGCGCATTCGTCCTGTTTTAAAAAAAATAATTAAATTAATTTAAAGAATTTTTATTAGTAAATAAAAATGTGACAGGATGTCCTATATAGAATAAAATAATTATGCATATATGTATTAAACATACAATATTATTTACTGAAAATTTCTTCAGTTGGTATTTCGATCGAAACTTGCAGAATATCCGATTTTACCCGCTTCAAAATTCTACTCCCAAAACATGACAAAAATACCCGATTTCCGAGTAAAATACCCGCAAACGGCCACACTTGGTAAGTAGTGACTGGAGAGCTATCTTGAAAACGCGGGAAGATGCCATCACATGACAGATCAGCTGCGCTCTAATTGGTCAGCTGAGGAAATCGATTGTGTCTAAAAAGTGTTTGGAACAATATGGCGGCAAGTATTTGGTGATTTTCAGTCTGTGCGAACTGCTAAAGAACAGATCTTGTTGTGTGGATTGTGGGTTAGATGAATATATGCGTATAAAAAGAAACTATTAAAATAAAACGTACAGTGGCAACAATAAAAGCAAGTCAAGCGCATCGTATGTAAAAAATTATAATTGTTATAATTATTACACCTCACATGTTATTATATAGGTAATTATCAGGGATGGGATATTTAGGTACTAAAAACTGAAAAATAGGGAACTAAAAAGGTACTCAAAAAAGCATTTTAGGTTAAAAAAACAGCATTTTAGGTAAAAAAACATTAAAAGTTCAAGTTTCTTTTATAATTTTGTTTAGCTGCATACCCAAACACAGAACATACCATAAACTATTTCTATGCAATAAACTGTGTTTCACTGAGTGACACTCACTACACAGAAATTCTATGACAGAACATAAGCTCAATACAAAGAAATACTGTAAAGAAAGTTACTGTTACAGTCTGTGACCCATACAAATAATTTAGAATAATAGAATAATTTCTATGCTGTGACCATAAGAAAAAATTCTATACCGTTGAGTTGCACGCCCTGGATAAAATATTGGCGGAAAATTTAAAAAGAACACAAAAAAATAAAATAAGTAAAAATACGTAAAAATCGATAACAAATATGTGAAAATAAACTGACAAATTAAAAAATATGTAACAAAAGTATTAAAAGGTAGTTTAAAGCAAAAACCTCCAAAAAAGGTAAAAAAGATGAAAACTAGTTAAAAAAATAGGTAAGCAAAAACCTCAAAAAAAAGGTAAAAAAAGGTGAAAACAAGTTGGGTTCATATAAAAGAAAATCTTTTAAAACACATTTTGGCATTATTGGATTTCAAATAGTTACATTGGTTGAAAAAAGGGAAAATAACTAAAATCCCATCCCTAGTAATTATGCAATAAACTTGGCTTATTACCACCCCGGCAAAATGTTAATAAATACTTTTCTTTATGTTTTATTTTATAATAATCAAATACAACCTCTCTGAATAATTGGATATTTATTTTAATCGCTATAGTTAGGTTCCTACAATTTCTCTGCTAAAAGTCTTATAAAGTCTTATTAACTCTTCTAGAAGAATCCCAAATCTTGCTATTAGTCTGATTTACAAATACTTAATCAGACTTTTTCCGACTTAATAAGTATTATTCAGACTTTTTAAGAGAAAGTAAGACTTTAAAAACTCTTATTTTTCCATATTAAAACTTTTTCAGAGAAAAATTTCCACAAGGGAATAGTAATAAACTTAGTCTCAATACGCAAAAAACTGAATTTATGGTGATAAAACAAAAAAATAAACCTGCTATCGACCTGGACATTAAAATCAATAGCATATCTATAAAACAGGCACAAACTATTAAATACTTGGGACTTATAATGGATGAAAATCTTAGTTGGAATGACCATGTTAAAAGCATAATAGACAAAATAGTTCCATGATAGGTGCTATTATAAAAATACAAAAGACTTGTTATACAACAGTTTTATCATGCCACACTTAAGATATTTAATGCTGCTGAATATTCATTAAATAAACCACAAAGAGTACAAAACAAGGCTGTAAAAACAATATATGGATTTAGTAAATATACGAGGAGTGTTCAGAAAATAACGGGAATTGTTAAATTTCGCGGGTTCGGAGGGTCCGGTTGTCATAAAATTTTCTTTATTTTGTTGGTATACATGCCCCCGAAGTATGATAAAAACTTAAGCTGTTTTCATTGTTTACTTTGTCTGTGGCAGCCGCTAAGGTTAGACGTGTTTTATGAGCTCGGCGATTTTTCGTTCGTTAAAAGAAATGGATCAAAGAATTTGTATCCAATTTTGCTTAAAAAATTAAATAAATTTTGTGAAATGTTAACAAAGGCCTTTAGTGAGTCTGTTATAAGTAAAACAAGAGTTTACAAGTGGTATAAGAGTTTCCAAGATGGCCGTGAAGACGTTGAAGATGACGAACGCCCCGAACGCACAAGCACATTAACAACCAATAAAAACATGGAAAAAGTGGAAGAAATAGTTATAAAACATCAGAGAATTTGCTGATGATGTTGGTATATCGATTGGCTCATCCCATGAAATTTTTTCAAATGTTTTGGGTATGAAACGCATGGCAGCAAAATTTGTTCCAAAATTGTTAAATTTGGAAGAAAATTTTTGGCCAAAAACAATACTGTAATGATGCCCCAGCCTCCATATTCGCCAGACATGCCTCTGTCTGACTTTTTCCTATTCCCAAAAATAAAGAGAACCTTAAAGGGCCGTCGTTTTGCAAGCATAGATGACATTAAAAGCGCATCGCTGAAAGAACTAAAGGCTATCCCAAAGATCGAATGTTTCGAGTGTTGGAAGAAGAGCTAGAACATGTGTATAATATCCAATGGGGACTATTTTGAAGGCGACAACATTAATGTAGACGAATAAATAAATATTTGTTTCAAAAAACTAAAATTCCCGATATTTTCTGAACACACCTCGTACGTACAAAGGAGGTCTATAAAAAAACAAAAATTCCGCAAAAAAGGCAACTAATAAAATTTAAGCGGGCTAAACTCATTCATAACATCCATAACAAGAACATCAAAACAAAGGCCAAACTGCTGCAAAGAACACAAGTCCATGAACATAATACAAGGAAAAATATTGACTTCAGAAATGAAAAAAGAATAACAAAAAAAAACGCAAGACTCTCCAATATACAGAAGTATACATACATATAACATGTTACCTGAAGAAATTACAAAAACCCAAAAATATGTGATAATGTGTAAAAAATTAACAAAAATATTTAATTATGTGATATTGCTAGTAAAAGCCTCAAGATTATACATTACATTATATTGTAAAAAAAATTTTAGGTCCCAGTATTATCAGTATTGTTGTACTGCTTTGGGGTCAGAAATAAATTATATTATTAAATAAAAAAAATATATATTTAATTTTTAAGGTGCGACAATAAATAATTCTTCATTTATTGTCCACAAAAACAATACAAAAAGTTTGCTTAAAATGGATATTTTTTTAATTAATTTAAAAGCACATTTGGTGATTTGAGCGGCAGTAAAAGTACTTTTACTGTAAAACTAATTTTTAATACTAACCTTTCCAATCTGGCAATAAAATTCAAATTGTCATTGGACTTGTGCTTTGTGGCACCCAAACATTTAATTTTTTCTTCTAATCGTTTTTCCATGCTTCCATCCTCGTTTGGTATTTCCTCCTCCAAATTTGTCTCCTCAAAAACCTCGCTTATTTTAACACAACCATCCTCTTTTAACACATCTCCGATGGGCTGTCTAATTTTGTCTTCTATTTTCCGTTCTTCAACTACAGTTCTTTCCAGCAGCAAATTTTCAAAATTTTCATTTCTCTCGATAAAACCTTCGTGGTGCCGGTTAAAGTCTTCCTCAGTTAAACTTACGTCTTTGTTTGCAGTTTCGGCTTCTTCCTTTCTTTTTGCCGTATAATCAACCTTTTTTCCAGCTGGTCCAAAAAACTTCTCAATCTTTTGCATGTTGGTATCAGTTCTAACAAAATCTTTTGGGTGCACAAACCCGTCGTTTTTCTTTGATTTTTCGTCTTTTAGGTCGAAGGTTTCCGTCGGGGCTGTGGGCAATTTTGCCTAATTTGCAAAATTTATTAAGTCAAGAGATGCCAAATAAAATTATATAAATATTTGATAATCGGCCGAAACAGGACAATTTTCAATTTTCAAATCAAAGCAAATTGTTGTCGTCATACGCTAAAGAAGTATCGCTAGTAGCGCCACCACTCGGCTGTTATCATCGTAACAAAAGTACAACTTTTAATAATCAGCTGTCAAACGCTTATGTTACAAACCAGTGTTTTTGAGAGGGACTTCCGGGTTGAATTTTTACCGGTTTTCCAATAAACAGTGTTAATCTGAATGAAAAAATAAATTTCATACAGTCCTTGTAAATTGTACCCATTAGATACAATAAATACACATTTTAGTAGTGATTAACGTGAAAAATGTAAACATTTCACTTCAGTAATAATCGTCATACAAATAAGTCGTCTAAATTTAAACAGCATTTAGCATTATTAAAAGCGTTGAAAAAGAAAGTCTCCACTCAACGGTAAAATACCATTATATTATGTAGGTATTATATCCCTTGCGGCCTTGAGTTCAGGGTTTATTCACCGTGAATTCACTGTGAATTCACCGTGAATAAACCGTCTGTTTGTGACATTTGTAAACGGTAGTTAGACGGTGAATTCACGCACTTTTCACAGTATTTTAATTGTGAATCCACCGTATTTTGGCGGTATATTCACGGTGAATAAACCGTGAACTCAAGGCCACAAGGGTAGGTATATCCTATAGGTTTAATACAATCGACTATAATAGCTAGCCATTATTCGTTACTGAGCAGATGAGGATGGAGATGGGGACTTCAAACAATTAATGTTCAGCTATGCCATTACAGACGCACACTTCCAACTAAATATTGCAACCCAACGCTATTTATAGTTAGCTCGCTTGCTTAAGCAGCCGTGAGATGTATTGCTTAAACCGCTTAACACAGAAATCGACTAATAAAAAAAAACCGCTAATAAATGGCGTCCAACTTGTTTTTTTCTTTATGATGGCGTCTCAACCTCGTTGATTTTGCGCAGCTACACGAGAGCCCTCTTGCGATATTTGTATTGTATTGGGAATAACCAATTAGCAGATTGTTCGAATCTTACACTTACAATTTGCGGTGTTTTCACAGTCAATTTACGGTGTTTTCACAGTAAACTCACAGCGCTTTTACGGTGAATTCACGGTGATTTCACGATAAATTTACGGTACTTTTACAGTGAATTGGCGGTGCAATTTGCAAACTTAAGTTCACCGTGAATTTACCGTGAAATCACCGTGAATTAACCGTGAAATCACCGTGAATTTATAGCAAAAACAGCGTGAGTTCACCGTTTAATTACCGTCTACAAATGTCACAAATGGACGGTATATTCACTGCACATAAGAGGTGTATTCACGGTGAATTCACGCAAACGGTGAATTCACCGTAAACTCAAGGCCGCAAGGGATATAATATTATGTTGCCATAAATTCGTAGGTATATTTTGTTGTTTAAAATGCAGTTGTCGGCGTGTTTTAGAGAACTTAAACATAAAAATGATTGATTTTAAGGTTGTTTGTGCAAAAATTATTTGTTACTAATTTCTTAAAAATTTCCAAACTTAAAAATAAATTATAGTAAAGTTATCATTAGTTAATTCTGCACCAACAAATGTACTTACAGAATTGGATCCTGTAGCAAAACATGAAAATGCAACGATTTAGTTCTTGAATTTTATTTACATTTAAAAACACAATAATTCACCATGATCCCTTTGATAAAATACACACACTAACGTAACTATATAAGCATTTAAGCGTTGAGTTTCTTAATCAATAATATAATGAATAATCAATCGAAATCGAATACTAAAAAAGTTTTTTAATTTTTTCCTTGCAACGTAAAACACAAATAACGTGCGCAATTGAACAAAATTTCAGCCTTCCTCTCTTTTGTAAAAAAACTACCTATTTATTTAAAAATAATGTATAATCTGTGCTTTAAATGTATTGTTGACAATTCTTAAATTCACGCAATGCATTCCACCAAAAGGCACGCGCGTTGCGAAAACCCGATACTTCTTTAGCGTATAGTCTGCCGAAATTTAAATTTGCCGCTTTTTAAATTAACGCGGAGACTTAAAAGGCGGCGTAAAGATAGGTATGTGATTGGTAGAAAAGGAGAGAGGGAATATGTTAAATACGACAATTGTTGTAGTCCGTTTTGGCCGATTATCCAATATTGACCCAGGTATACCTGTGTATAAAACACTCTAGAGTTGTTAGAGCCAAGAAGTTTTTTTTCAAGTCCACCACAAACACTTTCAATAATTTGCTCCTCATTTAAAAAATGTACCTCGTGTTTAGTTGGATGAACATTTACATCCACAGTAATAGGGTCTAACTCTAAACTTAAATACACAAAGGGGTGCATGTTTTTTGGTAAATAAGTCGTGTAAACTTGGTCTATACATTTTTTCAAATCTAAAAAATATTTTATTCACTAAGATATTTTTTCTAACATAAAAAACAATTTCTATACAGTCAGGGAAAACAATAATGCACTAAAACTGTTTTAAAACATCTAAAATGACCAAATACTATCTGAGAACTGTCAAAAAATGTTCTAAAACCTAAACATTATATTATTCTAGTAATTTTAAAAAAATTTACATTTCTTATACGTATATAGTACAGTAAAAAATGGCCGATAAGAAGCATTTTCCTTTGAAGTAGATTTTGCTACTTTAAAGTTTTTTTCCACCTTAATTTACTTTACGGTAGTTTTGGTTGGTACCAAAAACGTTCCAAATACTAAAATAATAACTTTTAAGTGATTAACTTTGTAGTTTTTAACTCATGTTCCAGTTTCCAGATTTTAACTTGCAAAGGGACTACAAAGTAAAAATAAGTATAATGTAATCTTTAGGTAGCAACCGAAAGTAACTGCTACAAATTAAATTTACTTGAAAGTTTTTTTTACTTATAACACCTTTTTTAAAGTTTCAAAGTCTTCTTGGGGGCAACCAAGTTTTACTTAAATGTTTATTACTTTATAGTATAACCATTTAAGGAAATAATTAAGTTTCTGTTACAAAATATAGCTATTTAAAAGTTATTATTTACTTTTAAGTAAAAATTAAAGTAGCTGTTTAGTATACTTAACTTGAATGTAGTAGTAAGTAACTAAGATACTTTTTTAGATAAAAGTTGCAAGATATATCTAAGTTATAGATTCTGTCCAATATAAAAAGTATCTAAGATTAAGTATCTTTTTTTTTTCAAGATACTCCCAGCTCTGGTTGCAACTGTTATTTTAAAAAATTCTTTAATACAAATGGAAAAATTACACCATTTAATTCTTCATTATAATTTATAAAGTGTGCATTATTATTTTCTCCGACTATACCCTCGATAAAAATGTAAAAAATACTTACTTGTGCATTCAACAAGTCTATGGTTTATAAAAAGCAAAAAGACAAACTTTTTTGTAGAATAATTTACGTTCGTTATAAAACCGTGCGATTTAAATTTAAATGTTGGATCTTCCCAGCTAAACTCTGTTAGTTCCCTTGAAAATATATTTTTTATTTTATTTTTTAATAATAATAAATATTTTCTTTATTACCTTGCAATTGTGTTGCCATATATGACTCTAATGTTGTCGATATGTGATGCTTTTGGTGGAGTTCTGATATCATTATTACCACCAGATTTTTTTAAAGCAAAACCTACAAGTTAGTATTATGTTTATTTTGAACGTAATGGTTTTTTTAAGAGATAAAAAATATATAAAAAATTTGTAAATAAAATTTTTTTCTATATAAAATTCCCTACAAAATGATACCAACATAACAAAAATTGCACTACAAGTTTTTGAGTTATAATGCTTTCACTTCAGTAAACACTTTTTTCAAAATAACTCCAAAACTAAAAATGTCACAAAAAATATTGTAAATAAGAAAAACAACGTATAAAATTCCCTACATTTTGACACTAAAATTACATTTGTATCTCCAAACCTTACTAGATACCACTGAAAGGTAAAGTATTTAATTTAAAAAAAAATGTTACTTACAATCAAACAACATTTTTTACAATATTTCAAAAAAGAGTCGATTTAGCAAATTTATGGATATTTTTTTATCAAAACACCAAATTACCCTAAAAAGTTATTGGCCCTTTTTTTTATTTATCAACAAAAACCCAAAAAAACATGTAAAACAGGATAAAAATATATTGACTTGCCTATTCCGGCATTATGCACAGCATATTTACTAACAACATCGGAAATTCTTGCATATTCATCTGCCACACTCCTCAAAGCATTTCTTCTAACGTTCATGTTATAAAATAAATCCTCGACTGTGATAATCGTTCCTTGATTACCAGCCACTGCTTTTGTGGCACCCTGCATAACTCCGTCCACAAATCTGGCCCTAAAAATATCAGAAAAATTAAAAGTGTTAACTAATAAACAACAGAACACTTACTGGTGTGCACAAACATCTTTCTTGGTTTTTGAGGTTATGGTGAGATGAGCGATGTGACTTATACTTGCAAGTGCCTCGCCTCTGAACCCATAGGTAGAAATCGAACTTAAATCTTCAAACTCCTTTAGTTTTGAAGTCGTAAATCTCTCACATAATATAGGAAAATCTTCCTTTCTTATTCCTGTACCATTATCTTGAATCTTAATTTTTTATATGTAAATACTATTAGATAAAATAGACTTACTTGCAGTAATTTTAATCCTCCGTTTTTGACTGTTATTTGAATATTATTTGCTTTAGCGTCGATGCTAAAATAATTATGTTATTAAAAATGGTATTTCAAAATAATTTTGATTTACCTATTCTCGATTAATTCTTTTAGGGCATTGGCAGGTCTTTGAACGACTTCACCCGCTGCAATTCTATTAACCACCTCTTCCCTTAATTTTTTAATTTCTTTTGGCGGTTCCATTTCACATTTTTGTTTTGAATTGAAAAATATTGTGTTTTGTGCCGGAGGTTGCCTACCTTAGTACAAACGATCTACGTTACAGGATCGCCAACCGATTTTAACAATTATAATTGTTAAAATCGGTTATAACTGTTTACTGAACTTAAAAAATAGATTAAACTTTTAGATAATACAGGCTACATATAAGAGTCGTTAAACCACTTCAAATAGTCTAGAACCCAAAAAAATTTCAGAAAATTAGATAAATATTCTCCTGTTGGCAGCACTTACTGCTGTGCAATGTTGCCAAACAAAAATAAAATTCTCGAAACGTCCAGTTTCCAAAGGAAAACATGCCAGTGAAGTAATTAATTGTTTTGCAATCCAAGAATATAAGTTATCACATTCTACTCAAACTTTACTCACAAAATTCTTTTCAGATCACGAAATTCATCACAAATGTAAAGAATTGGCAAAACTGCTACGTTGTTTCTTTAATTAATCCTAAAATACAACTATTTATTTGTAAAATCTCTTTCCAAATATTAATAGGTTTACTGTTAATACAGTTTATTACTTGCTCTGGGTTAGAAATTGTAACTTGAATTACAATTTTACGTTGTGGGGGTTATTGACCGCTAGGGCGTGTTAAAACGCTTGGCAACACTGCTTGATGTATATAAAGCAAAACCGCCGGTTTTTCCGCCAAGTTCCACAAGTTCGTTTGGAAACCTGCATTACGAGAGTTCCGAGCGTATCTCTATATCTTAATTACCTTTTTTGTGGTGTAACAGTACGAAACTAAATCAAAATGGTAAGTTTAATGTTTTATTTCATTTGTTTTCTTTGGAATGTATGATACAATTGATTATATATTGTTTTATTTGGCTAAAACAGTCCACGTTGTAACGGCTAATAGGCGCGCCATTTGCAATATGGATATAAAAATTGCTTTAACCGCTTAAATACACAGTGTTTCTTAAGGACGTGCTAATATTATTCCTCATATTTGTATGAATAATCAATTGTAAAATGAAATATGCAAAAATAATTGTTTTTTACATTACTAAATTACATATGTAGGTATATTTATATTAACCACTCCCTAATTGAAACCCACATAAAATATTCAAATAATGAGGTCATTTTTTGTGTTCTTTTAATTGCTTTAAATTTATTTTGATTTGAAAGTCTTAATAATTATTGTTTTTTAATATAGAAGAATCCCATGCTTTACTCCCAAATTGGGAGTCCCAATGGGCAATTATTGTATTGCATATTTGGAATATACTTTTTTTCCTGCGTTTCTCAAACAATTTTTAAAAACGCTAGACCTTGAGGTGTGACGTCACGATGCGTCAAGAATTACGAATGAATCCAACATCTGTTTTTAGTAGCACGGTCTTACACAGTATGCGGCAAAAGTATTCAACAAATTCATTAAAGAATGCCTTTTTCCCCAAAAAACACGTCGATTTTGCTTTTTAATTCCGCACATTTTAATGTGAAAATTTTATATTTGCCGCCATTTTTGTAGAAGCTATGACGTCATCGGTCGTTTTTTATTAAATCGTACCCCCTCATTTTTTTGCAGATTCGAATAGATTATGAAATTCTGAATTAGCAATATGCACATGTATACCCTTTGTGATGATAGTTTCTAAGATATAAAATATTAAAAGTAAAATTTATAATTTTTAATAATGTTTTGATGTTTTATAGTTTTTATTAAAAGACTTTAATTTAAAATTAAAAAGTGTTTATAGAAGAAATGTTCATAAACTTTCTCAAAATATTTCATTTAAGGTCAAACCTTTTTAGTTCATTATTGATTTTTGTTATTCTTCAAATCAATGTATGGAAGTTTTTTACTTTATAATTCTTTGTTAGCATATACGAGTAGTAGTTTAAAACAAATATTCACTACTAGATGTAAAAACTTTTATTTAGTTTAGTTAAACGTTCTCCAAATACCTATTTCAAAGTACCTACTTAAACAGAAACACAAAGAATTGTTAATGTTAATTCTCATACCTAGGATGTGGCATATTGCTGAAATCACAATTTAATAATCTGTTCGAATCTCCAAAAACAAAAGGGGAGTACAATTTAAAAAAATTACCGATTACGTCAGAGATTCTACAAAAATGGCGGAAAATGTGAAAATTGTATATCAAAGTGTGCGTAATTAAAAAACAAAATCAAGTTATTAAAGGATTTTTTTTTATAAAAAAAGCTGAATTTTTCAATGAATTCGTTACCTACTTTTGCCGGTCACCGTATGTAAGACCTTGATTTCTAGGTTATGTTTAATATTTTTAACGCTTTTTTATAAATTTTATTATAAAATACGTTGTTGGTTTTATAACAAGTAAAAAGATCACCAAATCATTTGGTTGTGTTCGGAATTTTTATAAATATATTTTTGCATATACTTCATTTGTAAATCTTGACATGCTACCGAGCGCATTTATCGATTTTCAAAAATCGTTTTTTTCAAACGACATTAAAATGACATTTCGCAGAATTTTAACGTTTTGCTGCATTGCATTTTCCAAGGAATGGTGTCCTCGATTTTTTGTAAACATTTGCTGCATAGTAGGCAGCTCTATAGAGCTGTTTCTTCGTAATTTTTGCTACAACCTGGTTGAGAATTTGAATTATTTGGTTTAGGAATTGTTGACGGTATTTTTATTACACAATCGTTCCTATTAGATATGGTAACGTAACCTTCTAATAAACTACTAGATTTCCACCCACCTTGGCGGTTAAGGCGGGTGACGTCAGCCCCTACATCTACATCTATAAGTGTAGCAGATGTTCTTATGAAATGTCCCGTGTACTCAGGGCCGGCAGCTTTTCATTTTGACGTGTGGTGCTCATCTACAGATGTTGGTAGCAGTGGTTAATGGATGGGGGACAGTGGCGGCTGGTGGATTTTGGGTATAACGATATCTCAATTATTAGATATGGGACCCACACCAAATTTATATGAGTTTATACATTAAATAAACAAGTTCTGCGCAAGCAGAATTTAATTTGTAGTTTGCGAAAAAAAGATAAATTTTTGCTCGGCCGTACCGGCCCCATAGCGCCCCCAATAAATATAATATAAATTGAATTGGTGCAATTTATTATTTACCATAATTTATCGACAAATTTTAATGCACATTAAATAAACAAGTTCTGCGCAAGCAGAATTTAATTTGTAGTTTGCGAAAAAAAGATAAATTTTTGCTCGGCCGTACCGGCCCCATAGCGCCCCCAATAAATATAATATAAATTGAATTGGTGCAATTTATTATTTACCATAATTTATCGACAAATTTCAAATTTCATTTAAAAAATCCAAATTATACCGATTTTATACCATTTTAAATTTTTAATATTTCTTTTCAAAGAAATAATAAAAATTTAAAATAATATAATATCTCTATTATTTGGATTTTTTAAATAAAATTTGAAATTTGTCGATAAACTATGGTAAATAATAAATTGCACCAATTAAATTTATTTTACCTATATTTATTTGGTGTGGGTCCCATATCTAATAATTGAGATATCGGTATACCCAAAATCCACCAGCCGCCACTGATGGAGGGTGTGGTGTTCTTTTCCTTGGGGGTTGCAGGAAGGAGAACAAAATAAAATTGGAATAGTTTTTTAGTCAATATTCATCAAACTCAGTCATATTTTATATACAGGGAGAGCACTCTACTAATTTTAGCACTAATGAATGATTAAATTTAGTTTATATATATAACTATATATATAGTTTTTTCGACAATGCTTATTACGCGAGATATTTTAAAGTTTCAAGTTAAAAAATTCACCCTGTAATGGAATCGAATGGGATAGGTATATTACTGCCACATCGGACGTTTTTAGGGTTACCACCTGCCATTTCTTGGATTAAGGGTTACCAGCATAAAAAATACGGGTTTAAAATAATTGTTCTAGATTTTGTTACGAGAGACAATTAAAACAGAGTTACTCTAGGATTCGAACTAACTTACCTTTGTTGATAAAAACTGTAAATAATAATAATACCTATAACTCAAAGTTTGGTCGGTTACCGTCAGTATAGTAGAAATACCCTAAATACACGTCGCGACGTGTCGGTATGTTATTCCTACTATACGAAGATACATACACTTATACATACTATACCGACCCACTTTGATACTTTAAACTTTGGATTCCTCAGCTTCAACCGTAAATTTGTAGTGGGCGTTGGTGTGTATCCCAGGCTAGCAGGATAAAAAATGTATAGACCGCAACAGAAATGCAATTTTTCTGCAGATGATACGTGTGGTGCTGAGCACCACTATTTTCCTTCACGTGTTGTGCTTGAGCCCGCGAGCACCGCTATTGTCGCCGGCCCTGCGTGTACTCCTTCTAATTTGGTAATTAAAAAAATTGAGCTACATCTTTAGGCACCTATTGTATGGGTTTCCATAACAAAACATTTTGCATTTTTATATTAAAAAAAATCTTTTGATTATTAATCACGGATAATATCTAAATTCTCCAATGTTGACACATTGCCTTACACCTAACTAAAGAATCCTTTGCCTAAATTATGTTGATATAACCTAATAACTTAGATGATTTGTGCCCCCTTATTGTTAAAGTTAAAAATTAAAAACAATATTTTAACATCTGTTATTTTAAAATTACGTAATATTTCTGTACCATATTTGGTAAGTTGTTTTGCTGGTTTTATTGGAGGTGAAATATTGAACAGTATGTCGGTTTTACAATACCAAATTTTGTCTTCCGGTAATGGCCAAATGTATTTATTTTCTCCAATATTTTTAAGTGCTTTAATTTCGTAGTCTTGACTATTTAAACTTCACACAACTCCGGGAAAAAAATTCTTATCATATCTAATCACAACCCAGTTGTTTATCGAAAGATCAATACCATTGTTTTGGAACACTTCTACGTCCAATGCTTTTTCTTGAAATATTTGTATTTTCTCCACTAGCGGTAACTTATGTGACTTTTCTTGGCTTTTTAAATTTTGTAAACAAGCCGGCAACGTGGGATATAAATCGGATTGCATACATTTGAATAACAAGTCTATTTTAAGATTATGTTACGAACAATTTGTAAAAATAATTAAAATTGCGTGATTTACGTAATAACTTATGTGACTACTAAATAATCATACTCTTCTGATTTAAGTATTTAATGTTAATTGTTATAACAAAATAATCAATAAACAAAGTCCCAAAAATGTTACCGCAATGTAGAAAGTAACTTATGGGACCAAAAACAGGGTGACTAAACTAAAGCTCAAAAAAATACATAAAATAAATCGTGTTAAGGTCAAAATCTCTTTTAAAACAAAAATACCACATTGTTAATTTGTATTTTTAGTTTAAAAATACTGTTTTTTTTTAATAGTGTCTGTACCACGGTCTTATATACAGGTCTTGCAACTTCGCCCAATTTCAATAGGAAAAGTGACCTCTCTAATGAGACACCCACCAGATGGCGCATCGAGTTGAGGGTGAACCATAGATGTTTAAAGGTCGTTTTTACCTTCTTTATCTTTGGGTTTTACAATCGTTAGATAAGCTCTCTGGTGGATAATTTTCTTAGATAGAAGGTTTCTATGAAAGTTATCCGCCAAATAAGCTAACTTAATCTAACGATTGTAAAACCGGCTCTAAGTCCTTAAAGTCTATGGGATAAAGGTCAAATGAACTACCTACTTATGTTCTGTGAAGAAACATAACCTACATTTTTATAAACAAGCTTGTGTATTTTGTTACAGGGAGTTTTTACTTATTGTTATTGTGATAT